CAAAGCTGTTTTAAAGTCTATTCTCTGAGCCACAGGAAGCCAGTGCAGAGACCTGAGGACCGGACTAATATGGTCGTACTTCCTGGTTCTAGTCAGGACTCGAGCTGCTGCATTTTGAATGTACTGCAGCTGTTTTACAGCCTGTTTGGACAGACCTGTGAGCAGGCCATTGCAGTAGTCTAACCTACTGGAGACAAATGCATGGATAAGAATCTCCAAGTCTGCTTTAGACACTATGTTTTTGATCCTGGAAATGTTTTTTAGATGGTAAAAAGCTGTTGATGTTACTGATTTGATGTGGCTATTAAAATTTAAGTCTGAGTCCAGTATTACCCCTAGATTTCTGACCTTGTTTGAAGGTTTTAGGGAGAGAGACTGTAGGTGACAGATGACGCTCTCTCTTTGTTTCTGGGGACCAAAGACAATCATTTCAGTTTTGTCTGCGTTTAGCTGAAGGAAGTTGTTTTACATCCACTCACTGATCTGTTGGATACAGTGAAGGAGTGAGTCCACTGGTCCATGTTCTCCTGCAGTCAGTGAGACATAGATCTGAGTGTCGTCTGCATAGTTATGAGTCCAGTATTAGCTGTAGGAAGTTGTTTTGCATCCACTCACTGATCTGTTGGATACAGTGAAGGAGTGAGTCCACTGGTCCATGTTCTCCTGCAGTCAGTGAGACATAGATCTGAGTGTCGTCTGCATAGTTATGATAGGAAACTTCGTTTCTGCGTATTAACTGACCTAACGGCAGCATGTAGAGATTGAAAAGAAGAGGTCCCAGGATCGACCCCTGTGGTACTCCACAGGGGGCAGTATTGTGTTGGGCCTCGGTACAGACGTGATCCGCGGTTTGATTTATGAAAAAAAAGTTGTGCGCACGTTGTTCAGTCCACACACAGCGCGGTCATTGCGAGCGGAGGAACGGAGATGCTTGAAAGCCCCGTGTCATTTAAAGACCTTATGACGGGTTTGATTTATTTAGAAATACAGTTTTAATACCATTTTATATTAGAAGAGAACTACTAAAGGTTTCAAAATCAGTTGTTGTTTTTTTTGTCTGATCCCCCCAAATCGAAATAACCCCATAGCAACGCCCTTAGAAACGAAAAAACTTCACAGCCCTTGGTGACGTCAGAACGGGTACGTTTCAACGCTGTAAGTTGTTTACAATTTGGTCTTCGTTCTTTTTTTGCGGATATTCAAGATGACAAGGCCGTGTACAGCGAGTCTAAGATAACTACTAGAAAGTATCATTTTGTTGTCACTGACATAGTCCAGTGGTTGTGTCGATGGACTGCCAATCCAGATACTTGGATTCAAATCCCACCTCGGACACTTTTTCACACTCAAAACGGCAATTTATGTGTAGTGAGCAATTGTCACCTGTAGAGGGCAGTATTGTGTTGGGCCTCAGTGGAGAGAAGAGAGAAAAGGCAGTCCTGTGGCATAGATCCATGGTTTTCAATGCATGGGCGTTACCCGCTATGACGTCACACACAGGTTAGAGCATAGACAACTTAAATTCATGAAAAACACGTTCTTTTTATAAAATGTTGGATTTTTTTTGCCGGAATCTCTTTCAAATTGACATTGTCATGCAATTTTGATATCCACTATTTTTTTTTTAAAAACTTGTCATAAGGTCTTTAAATCCCCTGTATGAGAGCATTTTGGCTTCACTGTAACTATACTAAGAATTAATATTCGACAAAACTGTCACGATGTGTAAGCACTGTGGCAAAAGAAAGACATGAGTGAAAAAAAGGGTCTCAACGACCGCTTATTGTCGCGGCATTTAAGCAGCTCCTTTACGCACAGTCAGACCGGGCTAAAGTCAACTCTCCTGCGCATCCTCAGCTGCGCTCACGACTGACTCTTGGACGTCCCGCGGACCCTATAATAGATCCATGAGCGGAACCGCTCACTTCATCACCGCAGACTGGGAGATGAAAAGTCTGGCGCTGCAGACACGCCCCCTCTACGACAGTCACACCGTCACACAGCGCAAGTACTGACACAAGCAGCGGAGGAATGGAAGACAAAGGCCCAGTACTACTATCCCAGTCACAATTGATAATGCCAAAAATTAAATAAATGCAGTGAATGAGGCTCGACTCATACTGTCGCCCCATGGAAAAGGGCGACAGTAGCTCAGTTGGTAGAGCAGTGGCCTTTGAGCCTGGAGGTCGGGAGAATCAGGAAGGTGGTTTGATATATGTTTTATAACCTCATAAAGTGCCTTCTTGTGTTGCACTTTGTGTTATTTTTCATTAATGATGTTAAATAGACATAATTGGATGGATGGAATATGCCTTCAATCCATCCATCCATTTCCTTCCCCTTATCCATTTCTAGGTCAGGGGGGGGCAGTCAGAGCAGGTGCCGAGTTCACATGAGCTGTGCTTATTAAAAAGACAACACTTTTTTTTTTTTTTAATAAACCGAAAAATGAACCGAACCGTGGCTTCTGAACCGAGGTACGAACCGAACCTTGATTTTTTTCAAACCGTTGCACCCCTATTGTTTATACATATTTTGTCTTTTATATTGTCTTTTGTACCAAATCGTTTTTCTACAGTAGATGGTCATAATGATTTGGTAAAGCAGTATCTTTGTGTGAATGTGTAGCCTACAGTGCTGCTTGAGTGGCCCGTATTTGGTCAAAATGGATTCACTGTGAAAATCAGGAGTTGAGGTTTGGAGCCGAGTGAATAAAAAGATTTCACCAGAATGAAAATGTTTGTTGATTGACTATTCATCGGACACAAGCTAGTGACAAGCAGTGGATCAAGTTTGTGATAGTCCGGCATACAGTAGGTATTATCATATTGAATGTACAGTATGTATTGTAGTTTCACAGTTTTATTCAGGCTCTAACGGTTAGCTGGCAGAAAGTGGGTCCCTCATTACCCATCAGCCCATTTGCCAGCTGCCTCATCATTACCCACAATCCCTTGACACCCTCTGTCACTCAAAACACAACCGAAGACGCCGGAAAGTCAATTAATGTGCGTTGTATGCAAGCATGTCTGCAGCAGTGTGCGATAAAGACAGATGAGGTAAATACAGACCGAAGGGGTCTGATTAGGTCTTTCAGAGGGGGCTTATTACATCATCAGTGTGTGCCAAGGGTATTTGGTGTTAGCTGTCGTGTATTCCGCAAAATTAAAAATGGAAAATGTTTGAGTAGTGTCTGCCATTTAGAAAATGCATTAAACCTTCTTTACTTTTTCATATCCACTACTTATGCTTATGCTTTTTCATATATGGCAGTACAGCTACTTACACTATTATAGACTCCTTCTTTGTATTCGAAAACAAATATTTAAATCTCTAGACCAGGAAAAGTATGTGTATATTTTGATACTTTGCATATTTTTCCAAACCAGCTGTTTATGCTAATAGCCTCTTCTAACCACTTGGTGTGAGATCTAGGTTGCATTTCTCTGCTCCAACGTGGCTAGAGTTTGTGTGGGCAACTGAGAGTGTTTACATCATCCAAAAATGTCAAACGGCATGATGCTCAAGTAAAAGCAAACCCACAGATGATGAGAAGTGTAAGGGTGATTGGGCTGGTGGGACGCAGGAAAACTTTGCTCAATGCCAGATGGAGGAGCAGTTGGCACCTTTCTCATTACTGTGGGAATGAATTTTGCCCTATCATAGCATTGCGCAAACACGTCCACAGGCACACTCACACACACACACACACACACCGTTACACACATATACACACATACAGAGAGGGGTGTACTGGCTGTCTGTCTGTGCCACCTGCACTCCACCTGGTCATCAAAGCTGGACCAAAGAAAAGCTGGTCCAGACCACAGGGAGCATCTCTGGAGCAGTGAAGGGCGATGGTGCCATATGTTTTAACCTGATGCGTCTTTATAGCACTGATCTTACCATGTAGTCACATTTTTAAGACTAATTTAGATCCTAGATTCATTGTGGTAGAGTAACGTGATAGACGCTTTTCAATTATTAAAATTTATTTAGAACACCTATGTGGAAAAACATGCTGAGTATAATTTACCATAGCGTCCCTGTCCAGTGTATTATATGTAATTGTATGTAATGTATTCACAGCAAGCTTAAAAGAACGCAGCTAAAGATGATATGTTCTGACCTTAAGATATATTGATAATCATTTCTTATCATGTTACTGAGCATATTACTGGTAAATGTAAACGTGCACTTTATTTATCCCCGTTTGCATTTGGCCTGTCCTGTAATGCCACTGGGGCCTCTGTCAGGAGCAGTGGTATGTATTGCTTAAAGTTGGAGTTATTAATTTTGAAACCAGAACAAATGGAGCTATGTAAAAACATCCATGTAAGTGGTTAGTTTTTACATGCATGTACTTATGGCTTCACTAAAATCTTTTGAAAGAGTCAAACATTGACTTAGAAAGCTTTTTCTCTACAGATATAACCTTTTTGATGATAAAACATTTTAATTTTCAGTACAGATGTCTGATGAAATGAAGAAAGCATGTTTCTGATTTATTCATAATATTTTACTTTGACTAGGCTTACATTTCTTCTTTTTTTCCAATTCTCTGACATATTGTGTTCATAATTTTATTTCCTGGTTATAAACCAACAAGAATGAATAAATGAGTAATGACTTTTGCCCCAACCGTAATTTATCTTGAGCACAAAAGTACGAAGAATATGAACATAAGGTAAAGGTGCACATGACGGCACATGCACTGAAGCAGCACAGTCATACAGTCATGCAGTCATACAGTCATGCAGTCATGCAGTCATACAGTCATGCAATCATGCAGTCATGCAGTCATACAGTCATACAGTCATACAGTCACAAAGTCTGTACCGTCGTACTGTTGTACAGTCATAGAGTATGCCATAGATGGTGATAGCTGAGCTGTACAGTATTTCTGTATGTGGGTCTAAGGACATTATCCATCCCATTGTGAACTTTCTAAACCCTTGTTGACGTGCATATGGTCATCATTGTGGATGTGACTGCACTAAATGACACAAGCACAGATGGGTGCGGCCTCGTCCCCCTTTGATCTGAACAGAGCAGCAGAAGGACTGGCTCACACAACACATGTCAGACAAAACTGCAGCAGCGGTAACACTGCAGGCCCGCTGGAGAACAGCCACATAAGGAGTACAAGTGAGATGTACATATTGCAGGCATAACAATGTAGATAGTGTTTTGTTCAGTCTGTACTTTCAATACCAAATGATCTGTACCTGATTTTGAACAACAAGATAAGATAAGATGTAATCTACGTTGTAATAACGTAATGTAGTCAGGTCCAGATCTTCACTACAGTATGGACACCTAAACTGTACCAATATAAGTTGGCCTAATTAATTTCCTAAGGGTTAGTGTTATAAGAAAATAAGTAGTCGTAGTAGTAGTAGAGAGTTGGGCTCACGCACTACAAAAATCATCATGAGGTTTTGGCTTATTCATCCATTCATTTTCTACCCCTTTATTAATCAATTTTTGGGGCAGGGTGACAATCAGAGCTGCCACCCAATGCTCATAGCACCAGTCCCTCGCTGATCCCCTAGCAGGTGGTGAGTCCACAGGAAGATGGCTGCTACATCAGTGATGTCACAGCCTTGGTGTTTCAGCGGTAGCTTTTGGCAACGTGGGGTTAAGTGTCTTGCCCAAGGACACAACGACAGCAGACATTAGTGGGAGCAGTTGGAGTAGGTCCTGTGGTGGGCTCCAACCCACGACCTTCAGCCAATGCTCTACCAACTGAGCTACTGTCGTTTTTGCTCATATGAACTGAAATCTAATTCACATTTCATTTTCACTCTATATACTGCCCACTACAAAGTAGAGGTGTTCCTTGATGTTCTACTGTACCTTTAAATCTTTCAAATGACGAGGTCAGCAACCAAAGGATTTTTTCTTCCTAAGCATTTCGATAAGTCTAATGAGGTGCCAGACCTTGTCGACACGCCATCACTTCTGTAACTCCTAACTTCTTTTAATTTTACCGTTTGTTTTTTATAATGCATTGTATTAGTTCGACATTCCATCAAAACACCCTTTCATTGTCGCACTCATCTATGTTTGGCTCTCTCTTTTCACCAGTTGAATTCCATGGAGCTCAGTGCAGGCATCTTAAACACAATTACAGGCCACAGCTGAGCGGAGGGGCGGGGTCCTCAGGGATCCCTCCAAACAGGAAATGGTCAGGAGGCCGGTCTGAGGAGGGAATGGCAAATCTCTAATTCAATTGGCTCAACCTCGCCAACAAGCCCCTGGCGACGTTTGCCGTGGAATCAGCTGGAATCAACCAATGTGGCTGAAATCTCCTGAGACATTTCCGCCCACAGCCGTGCACATGCAACATACAAACTCACAGAAAGGCAACTCATTTTTCAGCGTGATACAATATACTGTAAATGTAGTCTATAGTTTTTGCTTTGTTGTTTATTTTGTGTTATCCAAATCAGTAAATGAGGTTTCTTTATTCATTGAAAGAGAGAGAACAAAACATTTAATTCCATTCAAGATATTCCTTGAGTGAAAAAAAGCACTGTAAGCCCAGATCTGATTCTTTGTTTGCAGCAGTACACCCCCGCTAATGATTTGAATGTGCATGTCCCTGTGGTCCTGTGTGTAACTCTCTGAGCTCTTAAGATAACTGGGAAAGCGATCAATATGTGCGCTGTGTGTCAGTGATGATGACCCCCAACTCTTTACAGGCCTGTTATAGGTTAGCCTTTATTGCTAAGGAGCCGGCCACACTCAGCCAGCAGAGCCACACGCACAGCTCTGACAGAGAGTTTGTGTGGGATAAAGGCCAATCGATTTGTAACAACACCACATCTTTTAATCCGCGCAGTGGGTGTCCATCGGCAGCAGTCCGAAGAGGAAGCCTCCTAGTGTGCATGCTTTTTTCTATTACTCTTTCAATTGTAATGTCTTGAGGTTAGAAAACAAATTATGCAGAAATATAGAATTACAAAGTACATCTATAACACTTAACACATAATGTAGTGTCATTTTAGGGAGAAGCATTGGTCCATGTTTGTAACCTGCTCCTCTTTTCTCTCCTCTCTGAGCCTCTGACGCAGCAGCTTGTGAAGCTTTAATGCTTGTGTGAATAGCAGTATTAGGCACCATACTCTGACTGATAATTGGAACAAAGTGGGGGATCGATGCTGAGGGCACACACAGGACAGTGCAAGCATTGATCCTCTTGGAGGAAGGATTTTCTTTTGCATTTACCATGCAGCGTCTACACAATCATGCCTCACACTCATTGTTTCCGTAACTAATAAAAATATCAGCTTCATTTTCAAATCACATAATTCATACATAACAGTTTCTCAAATCAATGTCAATATATGTTACTCAAGAAGAACATTGCATACATTGTTAGCTTTTAGCATGTGCCCTAACAGCACTATTCTGAATCGACTCGTTGTGAAATGTGTTTTAATGCCTGGCGTACATCGGACTGGCAACTGATTATATCCGTCGCCTATGAGTTGCTGCCCCGCACACATCGACAATCTGGCGAAAACGGGCAACTGATAGTAGCAGGCCAGTCTCGGGAATAACAGCGCGTACATTGACAGCAACTGGCCGTCAACTACAGTTTGTTTTCTGGCATAAACTGTAGAGGGCGCGCAATACGTCACATGATAACACTCTCAACGCATGTTGTTGGAGCGCGCACATCGTGTGATATCACCGGATCTGAGTACAACTATTTGCCGAAAAGTACAACACGGGCAACTGACTGAATCCGGAGATCGACTGTTTATCTCCAGTTGTAAGAGCGCTCACATCGACCGATTTCGGCAACTGATCATCTCCCATCATCTACTCTCAGTTGCCAAAAGCCGTCTTGCAACTAGTTGTCTCCAGTTACTCTGTCAATGTACGCTAGGCCTAACACAACACAGCTCTGTAATATTCAGAGTTGTAGTTGTTTTTCATTATTAGCAGTTGATGGGTGCAGCATGGCCAAATGTTTTCAGTCCTGCTCTGGAAGGAGTAGTGCACATGTACTTATGTCCATAAACCAATGCCGGATTCTCACATACAGTGCCTTGCGAAAGTATTCGGCCCCCTTGAACCTTTCAACATTTCGCCACATTTCAGGCTTCAAACATAAAGATATAAAATTTAAATTTTTTGTCATGAATTAACAACAAGTGGGACACAATCGTGAAGTGGAACAACATTTATTGGATAATTTAAACTTAAAAAAAAAATAATAAAAAAATAAATAAAAATACATCTGCAGTTCATCCAGAGCGATCATGGGCCTCTTGGCTGCATCTCTGATCAGTCTTCTCCTTGTTTGAGATGAAAGTTTGGAGGGAGGGCCGGGTCTTGGTAGATTTGCAGTGGTCTGATACTCCTTCCATTTCAATATAACTGCTTGCACAGTGCTCCTTGAGATGTTTAAAGCTTGGGACATCTTTTTGTATCCAAATCCGGCTTTAAACTTCTCCACAACAGTATCTCGGACCTGCCTGGTGTGTTCCTTTGTCTTCATGGTTCTCTCTGCGCTTTCAACAGAACCCTGAGACAATCAAAGAGCAGGTGCATTTATACGGAGACTTGATTACACACAGGTGCATTCTATTTATCATCATCAGTCATTTAGGACAACATTGGATCATTCAAAGATCCTCACTGAACTTCTGGACTGAGTTTGCTGCACTGAAAGTAAAGGGGCCGAATAATATTGCACGCCCCACTTTTCAGTTTTTTATTTGATTGACTGCGGAACCTTCCGCAGTCAACCATTGGTTTTGTATTTCTTTATTCCGTCATTTTTTTTGACACGTTTCACAGCTTTCACATTTTCAACAATTTCCACAAGTTATACATCAAAACGTTCCACATGTTTGGGAGATTATTGCTATTACTTTTGGGACTTCAGCGATTTCCGGTTTTTCCGCAATCGGACAAAAATCTGCATTGAGAATTCTGCAATGCATTTTAATAGGCCCATGCATTTTAATAGGACTTCAGCTCTTTCAGACATTTCTACAGTTTCAATGATTCAACAGTTTCAAGGATTCAACAGTTTCAAGGATTTCAGCAGTTTCAAGATTTCAAGAGTTTCAAGGACTTCAACAGTTTCAAGGACTTCAGCAGTTTCAAGGACTTCAGCAGTTTCAAGGACTTCAGTGTAATCATGCAACCTAATAGGGATTTTTCCATGTAAACCAGTATAATGCAACTTAATAGGGATTTTTCCATGTAAACCAGTATAATGCAACTTAATAGGGTTTTTTCATGTAAACCAGTATAATGCAACTTAATAGGGTTTTTTTTCATGTAAACCAGTATAATGCAACTTAATGGGGATTTTTCCATGTAAACCAGTATAATGCAACTTAATAGGGGTTTTTACATGTAAACCAGTATAATGCAACTTAATAGGGTTTTTTCCATGTAAACCAGTATAATGCAACTTAATAGGGATTTTTCCATGTAAACCAGTACAATGCAACTTAATAGGGATTTTTCCATGTAAACCAGTATAATGCAACTTAATAGGGTTTTTTTCATGTAAACCAGTATAATGCAACTTAATGGGGATTTTTCCATGTAAACCAGTATTATGCAACTTAATAGGGATTTTTCCATGTAAACCAGTATAATGCAACTTAATAGGGTTTTTTCATGTAAACCAGTATAATGCAACTTAATAGGGTTTTTTTTCATGTAAACCAGTATAATGCAACTTAATGGGGATTTTTCCATGTAAACCAGTATAATGCAACTTAATAGGTTTTTTTTTTACATATAAACCAGTATAATGGAACTTAATAGGGTTTTTTCCATGTAAACCAGTATAATGCAACTTAATAGGGATTTTTCCATGTAAACCAGTATAATGCAACTTAATAGGGTTTTTTTCATGTAAACCAGTATAATGCAACTTAATGGGGATTTTTCCATGTAAACCAGTATTATGCAACTTAATAGGGATTTTTCCATGTAAACCAGTATAATGCAACTTAATAGGGTTTTTTCATGTAAACCAGTATAATGCAACTTAATAGGGTTTTTACATGTAAACCAGTATAATGGAACTTAATAGGGGTTTTTACATGTAAACAAGTATAATGGAACTTAATAGGGGTTTTTACATGTAAACCAGTATAATGCAACTTAATAAGGATTTTTACATGTAAACCACTATAATGTAACCTAATAGGGGTTTTTACATGTAAACCAGTATAAAGCAACTTAATAGGGATTTGTACATGTAAACCAGTATAATGCAACCTAATAGGGATTTTTCCATGTAAACCAGTATAATGCAACCTAATAGGTTGCATTATACCACCAGACCAAGACCCAAACGAAGACTCAGACCACCACCAGATAATGACCACAGACCAGGTTTCCTTAGTTACAGGAACCAAATTGTTTCAGCGGTGAGGGGATTTTTCAGTTTCAAGGACACTTTCAATACATTCAGTAGTTTCAAGGATTTCAACTGTTTAAGAATTTAACCAGTTTCAAGGATATCAGGAGGTTCAAGGATTTCAGGAGTTTCCACACTTTCAACAGTTTCCAGGTTTAAAAAAGTTTCAAGGATTTCAGGAGTTTCAATGTTTCAACAGTTTCAAGGATTTCAGGAGTTTAAAGGTTTCAACAATTTCAAGGACTTCAGGAGTTTCAAATATCTATCAAGTATTTTAACAGTTTCAAGGCCTTTTAAAGGATTTCAAGGATTTTTTTTAGCAGATTTCCACATTAGATCTGTTCCGCAGTCAATCGCAATGGCTTCAGCCATTGCAAGTTTCTAGTTTTTTTTAAAGTTTAAATTATCCAATAAATGTTGTTCCACTTCACGATTGTGTCCCACTTGTTGTTAATTCATGACAAAAAATTAAAATTTTATATCTTTATGTTTGAAGACTGAAATGTGGCAAAATGTTGAAAGGTTCAAGGGGGCGGATACAGTGCAAGGCACTGTATCCGCCTTACTCCTGAGCTCCATTGCACTGCAGTCACAGTCTCTAAGAGGCATGCCTCACTGCACGCGTCAAGCGGGCTAGGCGAGCTTCAACGTATTTGTTTGACACGTGTTTCATTTAGAAGCATGGATCGTCAATTTCTGAAAATAGAATCCATCCTCTTTTTGAGGCTTGTCGTGTGTAAGGCGCGTTTTCCTTTGAAATTATAGACAGTGCAGGCATTTAGTGCTGTATTTGAGCAGTTACCACCAAAACAAGACAGCCTTGAGCCAAGTACTGTATGATGTTATCTGCTCTGAAAGACTATTCATTTGGAAAACCTTGCGTTTGCCCAAATGCAGACATGCAATTCAAGCTTGCTGAGCTTACCATTTTCCCCAGTAGAGCTGTCAAATGTGACCCAATGCACACACCCACGCTTTATTCATTAAGAAACAAGTCAGAGCCACATGCTATTATTGCGGTTACACAAGGCTTCTGGTTTGGGAGCACATACATGTGCCAATGCTTACACAGGGGTTGGCAACCCTTATATGGCTCTATTGATGACGACATGGCTCTCAGATAAATCAGATTGTATATCTTACGGAACTTCTCGGTTTCAGAAAGTCCATCCTTCCTTTGTGATCCCTGTTGATAATTCCCATTTACAATTATGATCTACAGGTGTAGATCGGGGTTCACTGAGAACACACACAACCCTTACCCTAACCCTAACACATACTGCTTGTGAGAATGTTTCTACAGAAGAACTGATTCCTTCTGATTCCTTCTGTATCTCTGTTTAATCTGAGATGAAAGTTCCTTTACAGTCTTTCAGTCAAAGATACAGAAAATATGTTTGTATTAACAGTTTTTGCCCTTATATGAAACATTTGCAGGCCTGATATTGACACTTATTCTGGACAGATGTGTTTCTCTCAAAACCAAAGCAGCACAGAGACAGAAGACAAATCCATGCATCTGACATTTGTGCGTTTATAACAGTTCTGTAGCGGTTTTCTGCTCCAGACTTCACCAAAGAGAAAGAGGCAGCAGCAGTCCTTCTTCTGCGCCTCACTCTGTACATTTGTACTCAGACAAGCTGGAAAATGTCACATATAGTTTATCTTTGGTCTTTTTTGCACTCCGGCAGTGGCTTTTTGGGTTGTATACCAGTATTTGTACATGTTTTTTCCTGAATGGTATATCTTCACTCACTGTCTGTAAGTGACATTAAGTGTCACCAAAACTCATGTTTTTCTAGTGTGGGGGAACATTTTTACTTTAAAGATCAACTAAACACCAGTGCCCAGCCTGACTCCGCCCACATGAACATTTGAAAATTCTCCCCAAAATGGGCGTTGCCGGGAGGACCAAGGGACAAGAAGGGGGGCTTAGAGTTGGGCGTGGCGTGGGCTTTGATTGACGGCTCTCTTGTAACTATGGAGAGTGACAGTGACAGCAGCTTCGCGGCCGAGCGCTCTTTTGAGGTGGAGGACTTTTCTCCACCTTCATCACCAGAGGTGGAAGTGGAGGAGGTTCATGTGGAGGAGTCCGGCGGCCCTGAGCCGTACATGTTTGAGCCGATGGCTCGCTTGTTATCCGAGGCCACCGGTGCAGCTAGCACTGACGAGCCTTCCCAGGCATCAGTGCAGCACAGAATGGGTCCCGTTACTGAATGGTACATTGGTGTTAGCATTATTGATAATATTTTTATTTGATGTAGAACAAAAGAGATGGATATTGTGGTTAGGGTTACACACACATGACTCTGCATCAACAGGTGTTTGTGTGGCAACTGCACATCATTATCCCCAGAAGAGAACGTGTGCTGTAGGGAGACACCAAAGGTACAATAGAATAAAATTAAATAAGTAATTAAATAAAATAATTATACAAATCATATTTTCCTCATTAAGTTCCCTATTTGTGGTAGGTAATGCACAGATGTCAGCAGGTGGGTGTAAACACCTGCATTACGGAGCACCCGGGGTTTGAGGCAGTTGCCCTCAACCCATATGTGCTGCAGGCAGTGTATGGCACATACTTACAGCTCTTTGGTGACATGCCAGAGACGATGGGGCACAGGTTAGTTTTTGCAGGATAATTGATTAACAATTAGGTGGTTGACAACCCATACATCTCTTCTTTCAGTAATTACCGGCACCTTGCGTACAGGAATGTGGTCAGGTGGTGTTGGGGTTACCTAGGCCAGCATATCAGAGTCGTGATCCCGTCCCTGTGACCCGTATCAGGCTGGAGTTCCCTGATTATGTGGCTTACACGGGGTTCCTCCCTGTCCTGAATTTTCATGGCCAATAAACATCAATATAAACACAAATGCCATTCTGAAATTTTTTATTGCTTGTCTTAATTTTTTTCCTTCAGATCTTATAACGTGCATATTTGTACATACAATAAGCATCCAAATGTAGATTGGTGCACCAGTGGAAAAAATATATTAACAAATATACAATATACTTTGTCATATTTATATCTACATTGAGCATTTAAACCACAATTGTACAGTATCTAAATGCAAACATAGATAATTGAAGTTTTTGGTTATTGAATGTGGGAATGCTCACAAGCCACTGACATTTATCTCACAACACACCAGTTGATAATAAAACCTAACAAATACTGATGGATAATGGACTGAGAGCAAGTTTAGGCACTGTCACAGCAGAAGCAAGAACGCCACACTCCCTGGACCCAGTGTCAGGTGACATCACAGCTAAAGGCCTATAGGATTATATAGTAATGAGGAAGTGTTGGTCTTGTACAGAGAGATCATGGACCCAGTGACTGATTATGTTTGAAATTATATTGATTATTTTTTAGATACAACTTTTGAAAGTAATGCTGTTTATAGGAAATACCCACTAGCCCCTGTGACAATCACATTTCAGAACCTGAAAGCAACCAATTCCCCAAAAAAATCACTTTACCCCTACATTACTTACAAATCTATATTCACAATCTACACTTGTATACATTTTGCGGCTACAGTGGTGCAGAGTAGAGCTGGTCATCTTGTGATTGGAGAATTGGCGGCTCAAATCACGCAGGTGCACACTGTCCTTGGGCAAGACACTTCACCCTCTTTTCCTCCATTGTCTGCATTCACTGGTGTATGGATTGGTGACTGGTTCCTCGATGTTAAGTTCTTAAAGAAAGTAGAAAAGGTGCTATATAAATGTGACAATTTGCATTCAAAATGTATCTAGTGTGCAATACAGCAATTAAATGTATTACGAAAATTGATCAACACTACATTATCATCAATGTTGTGGTGGGCTCTCATGGCGGTACCTGAGAGTGAGGTCCATCCTGTCTTCCCACACCTCTGGTTCATAGTTAGATATGTGTCCTGGCTGACTCATGTCTGCTTTCTGAAAATATTTTAGTTCTTATTGGCATGCAGGCATGTCAGAAAAAAGTTATAATAGAACGATGATAATATTGCATAGTGTTCAGTGAATAAACATATGAACAATAGAATGTGTACATTATAACACTATCAGTCATGCAAAATAAGTTAGTGACCCCATATATTTATATTCTGGATATTCTTGTTGTATGTGATCTTCTGGTGTTTGTTTTTCACCTTATTTGCTCTTGAAAAATCGTGACCTGTGCCTGCTCACTGCCTCCTTTTTGTCAGGCCTTTCATACTGGCCACAGAGTGGTTCAGGCACATGTATTTTGTCCGAGTGCTCTTGATACGGCACTGTATCCTGCACCACACACTCGAACAGCAGAGTCATCAGCTTATCAATGTAGACTGGGGAAAAAATACAACATAAATATTATAACAGCCCTCATTCATAACAGTCAAGTTTCTTTCATGACATACATGTGGTGAATTTGGTCTTCAGAGCTCTCACAGTATAGTCGCCATGTTTATATTTTGGATACACTATGGAGTACCTCAGCTCACCAGCAGCAGTTCTGGCGTGTGTGCGTGTCGCGTTCTCATTATAGTGCAGCGCTGAGATTTGTAACCTAGAACAATCAAAACAAAAATAAGAAAACAGTGATGTTATTTGGTTCAGTTTCAAAAAAATATACAATGAGGGAATAGAAATAAATACTTTTACAAGGTTTTGGTATTCATTACCTGGCCATCATTCCTTTAAAGGAGAAGCACACACTTTTCGGAGAGAACCTGATGATGAGGCTGTGAAATGCCTCAATGTAGGACGTGTGGTAAAGTGGGCTGATTTTCTCCACGTCCTTCAGAAACCTCGGCGCCAGTAAAATGGCCGTTAGTCTTTCGCATGCTGCTGTGCCTACACACAAAATGATCAATGGAAATGTATTTTGGATTAGAAAGAAAATGCAAAATGTCCAAGATAAGTAAATATATAATCAAAGAAAAACTGTCATTACTAACTTGGCTTGAGCCACTCCCTTGCTCTTTCCCCAACCAGTGGCTCGTGTTGGCAGCAGGGGAACAGGGCATTATCATGCGCGTGAATATTTTGTATGTGGTTGGCTACAGAGGTCCACTTGGCACAGCTTCTTCTCCTGAGGAGGAAGTAGAGGCTGACCAGTAGAGGTGATTCACCACGCTCTTCCTCCATTGGCCCACATCCTGAGTGCTCTTTTTTTTTGCCAGTCCATCTATTTTCTTCCCCATTCCTATGACATTTTTTTTATTACATGGATTAGATCTATATTATCTGTTAATTATACGCTAAATACATACCCTTTCCCATGTGCCAAGGGTCAAAATAGTGAGTGATGTCTTTTTTTTCCTCCCTTAGGTACTTCTGCACTCCTGTGTGTCTGTCCGTCACAATTGCCTGTACTTTCACACCCTTCTCTTCCAGCATGGTCAGACTGCGTATAAATCCTTCCTTCTCCATCCTTACACTGTTCCCAACTTCACTGCTCTGAAATCCAACAGAATTATCTACATAAATGCGCCAAATGATTCCCAATTAATTGTTCAAATGTAAACATGGTGGTGTTTTACCTGGATAAGTTGGATGTCAATGACGCTGTTACTTTGCAGATTCATCATGGTGTAACTACCGTATTTAGCTGAATGTCCTGTAGAAATGCACATTACACTTGGCAAACTTATTTAAAACATAAAAATCTTTGTTTATAAAGAAAAGATTTACCTGGAGAGTCAGCACGCATATCCCCACCCAGTGTCAAAGGCCCACCAGTAGCTGCCTCCCTGATTTTTTCATCCTGCTCAAGCTTCCACTGCCAGCTGACCGTCGGGATGAGGAGCTTGGCCTGATGCTTGTAAAAAGTTTGCTCTGACAGTCCTTGAATGTTGAAAGCCCTCAGGAACTATGCAATATAAAGTAATATTACCAACTGACTGTTATGGAAACATTGTCAATACAGATAAGACGATTTATTTACCTTGGAAATCTGACCAAAACACGAGCCGGTGAAGAGGACAGCAACACAAAGCTGAAGATTTCCAGCTGGTATATCCTTCACCATGGGCTGACTGGACCAGTCATTGCAGTACTCACATGCTGGACACTGCTGTTTCACTCGGAGGAGTGTGCCCAATGTGGTTGTCTCAACTGTACAAACGAGTGCAGACAGGACATTTTTGAAAGAGCGACAGCAGTTGGTCCTCATGAACAATGTACTTTCTGGCTTTGTGTGGAGGGACTTCCGTTTGTAGCGCTTTTATGTAGGAAGAGGCAAATGTAACCATTTAAAAGAATACAATATTTTCCAAGGTATATTTTTAAATAATACACAAGCATTCTTTTCCCCCATAAATTTTTACCTTGAACAGTTCAGAGAACTGTCGTTCAGATGGAAGCTGGGGTCAGATGCAGACACCTCACACCTTTTTCTTTTCAAGGGTGTAGAGGCTGCTCGGGGACTTTCAGGAAGTGGGATTCCCATGAAGGTCCCTGTATCACAGGAAACGCTGACGCTCTTATGTGGAGCCTGCACCTGCAAGCCTGTTTAAAAGAACACAGATAAACACATTATTAATAGCACTCATAAATGGTTACATTAGCATCTAACAGCGAATCCAAAGTAAAATTAAACTCTTGTACAAGGGAATAATACAGACTGTTATAAAAGACAAATAACCTTTGCTGCGCCTGCTGGGCTTAACATTGGCCTGGACACAAGCGTGCCTGCTGATGATTGGATCCGTCTGACAGGCCATTTCTCTGGTTGCTTTAGGCTGAAAACATAAGTAATAATATTAGTAATAAGTAATAGTAGTAAGGCAGGAAAGACTTATTTGTATAGTGGTATAGTAAGACTAATTTCTACAGTGTGGATGTTTCTTTGTAGTTTTTGATCAGAGTAGTTTATGATCCCAGAACTACCTTGAAGCTTGTGCGCCAAGACCCACGTCTATTGTACATCTATTAAACAGGCTTTCTGCTAAATATTATTGTACATGACATGTGGAGTATTGGGGTAATATGTTACCTGGCTAGGACCGACGGAGATCGTGAGTGCAGGGCATATTATAAATCCCCTTACATTACACCTACGTGGACGGAGGAGATAAAAACAAACGCAAGTGACAGTCATGTCCTGGAGATCGTGTTGTTACAGCATAAACTCGTTACAAAAGCTAGCCCCTTTGCTAACACACTGGACAACCAAACCATGTAAGGTAATATACCGCGCTAACTACCACGGACCTGCACAGTTTCCTCTCGGTCACAAGTCTACAGTCCGTCACCAAATGTCTCCAACAAAGACACAACATTATTATTATTATTATTACTCATTGTTTTTGCCCCTCACCTCAGAGTGGCGCCCGGAGTCTCCGTGGCTGGGCAGCAAGGAGCTCCTTCCTCGCTCGTGGAAGACCAAGAGTGGGAACAGCCTCGCTCTTCAGACGGAGCTTCGTAGTGAACCCCAGCTCAAACTGAATCAAGTTGTCGAAGGAATCACACGCAAAATGGTGGTTGCAAACTCCAGCATGAGGCGGGAGTTCGCAGCTATCCCCCAGGCCAATTACGCGGTACCACTGGCGCCTCAAAGTCTAAGTCCTGTGGAAAGTAATGTAATCCTACAGTACTTTGACAGCCCACCACACTACACTTTCTCCCCATCCTAACAAACAAGACAACTAACACAAATACTAATACACAAACACGGACAACAACACCAGCCTATACAAAGCCCTACGTTAATCTACAAGTAACACACAATGACTAAATTAAACTATACTCACGCAACTAAACTACCTGACTACCTGTGAACTACACTAGAAACGCTACGCTAAAGAACTAACTAAATACTAAGCTAATGAATTGCTAACCTGAAAATCAATGTAAAATGCTCGCTCACATTCCAACTCCAACTCGCTACGGGGGCGTGTCAGAGGACCCGCGGGCTTTATAGCAGAGGCTCAGGAAGACCTGCGTCACAGAAAACTAGGGAACTCAAGAGCCAATGGAGAGTCCAGGAACGAAATTCAAATGTAGTGACACGGAAAACCATAGAGAGGGCGCCACACACGACGGTTTAGGCTCTAAAAGTTGAGATTTTAACTAATTTGGATTAAAATGTCAAATATATGGCCAGGACATGTAGGGAGCAGTATAGGGAAACATATTTAGGCAGTGTATAAGTAAAAAAAAAGTTGATTTGGTGTTTAGTTACTCTTTAAGTTTGCAAAAAAAAAAGAAATTTTTCACATTGAATGAAAACATGGTGTGTTAAAGGAGTGCTATACACCGTTTCTGCAGATTTCCAATGTTTGCACGTCCCTCAACTCGCTCAAGGTCTCCGGAGACCATCCCAAGGAGCCATCTATTTTTATTTGCGATCTTATTTGCAAACTATTAGCATGAGCACAATTCTTGTAAAACTGTACAACAATCACTTTGATTTTGTTAGCACTGCTAAACAAAATATATAACTGAAAAGATTACTGCTAGTTCGCGTCCGAATGTAGTCCGAGCATAGATAGTCCCGAGGCGTCTGTAAGTCTTGATGTAAGCTTGCTATGTTTTGGTTGATTTTCTTCTTTGATTATTTTTTTTAATTTAGTTCCTCTTCTCTTCCTTCACTGTTGTGTCGTTTTGGGCTGTTTTTGCTGTGTATTGTGTTACAGCAAGAGGAGTTATAACCAAATCTGCGACTGCGTTTTAGCAGCGCTGTAGAGGCTACGAGGACGCCTTGCTCGTAAACAGCGCTGCTCCTTGTTCTGTGGAGTCGGAGGATAGCGGGGCGTCACGGTTAAGGGCTTTCACAAGGGACTTAACTCTCGACTTCGCAAAGCGTCAGGTTTGCATTGAAATATGAATGGTGGAGCGCGACATGGTGACGCGAGGAGGCCGGCGTCAATTGGCGCGCCCGTCAAAAGGCTTTAAATTATGCGGCCAATTAGCGGGTCACTTTTTGCCTTTTGACTAGGTTATTCGCCCGAGTCTTTTGGTAAATAAAAATCCATCTGACCATAGTTGAGCAATGATGAGATTTTTAAGTTTGACCCGCCGGGCTTCATATACAATCAGGAGACGAGGACGCAGCAGCAACAGCAGCAGCAGCAGCATCAGCAGCTACAGCTGCTGATGCTGCTGCTGCTGCTGCTGATGCTGCTCCTCCTCTCCTGATTGGTTGGCTGCTGGTTTTATTGTCATTTTTGTTATTAGTAATATTATTGTATGAGTAGTAACGTTCTTAATAAGTAACAAAATAAATGTAAACATGCTGTGAAGTAAAAAGTTTATGTCATTTTGTTATGTATTCAGACACAGCAATATAAGCATCCTCTCGGGGGAGCGAACAAGCCCCCACAACAAACTGACGCTGAGTCTGGCTCAGACACAGCAGACTGATAGACAGCACTCCTCTGGGGGAGCGAGCACTTAGAGCGATCGATCCCCCACGCGCCGGCCCGCACGACACCCAGCCCACCCCAGGCCCCGTCGCTAAACACACCCACCGGCCGGGAGAAATCTCTACACGCACGCGACGCTCTGACGGACCGGGGCGCTCATCAGGCGACGCAGATAACTCCAGCGGCCCACCTCTCCACACCGGCGGGCCATCAAGGCCGAAACAGCACTGTCCCAGGCACCCGAGCGCGCGCCTACCCCCCCCCCCCCGCGTCCGCAGCCTCAAGCCGACGACACACGCCTTCCCACCCCCGCCGCCCCCCCACAACCTCCGGGGGCCCGGGCATACCAGCACCCTCAGACGCCAGAACGCACGTACTTACACGCGCCGACGCCAGCGGCAGCCCCCCTCGCCGCGAGCAAGGCGGAAGCTCCCAGGCGGCAGCAATGCGGGGGCAAGGCGGGGTGCGGGTACCAAAACTGGGCGAGTGACATGCGGAAGTACCGCTGAAAGCGAAATTCATCCGTACACAGTTCCTGTAATAAATGTTGAACCTCAGCAAACACTGCAGCCTCTCAAGTCTGTGGTGAACCCAGAACACGTTTTGTTGAAGTCCTACGACAACGTTGTTTGGCTTTATAAAACAAAAAAGGCTTGCTGCTCTCTGGAAAATCCATTGTTGTCTTGACTAATGGCAACTGAGAAGCTCCTCTCACCGGCGTCAGGCGCTTCACTCGCGTCAAGCTTCAAGCACCAAAATGACGAAAAAAATAACCCGCCGTCAGTTGACGAGCATCAAAAGCGTTTTGAAGCTTTTGGTCTGAAAGCACCTTTAGTCTCTACTCAGCTCTTTGTACGGCCTGAATGTATACACAAGCTGAATCAATGAGCTCGAGTTTTCAATTCAATTACAGATTATAATACAACTTGTATGTAGTAATAAGCATTTTTATGAACTCATAAAAAGAAAAAAAATTGGGTATAGCTTCTTTAAAACATTATCCTCTTAACATTTATTAATCAAGGATATTCTGTTACAAAGGATTCACATAATTACTGTATTTTGACTGAGATCTGAAATCTGTTGGGTTTTTTTGCGCAGTGCACGTTTTTAAAGTTCATTAAAATGTTGCAGACCTCTCCACTTCTCCCCTGGCCCTGTTGTGTGGAGCTGGCTGTATCAAGCATAACGGCAAATGCCCAAATAGTGTTGGTGGGGATGATCGATGGAGTGTTTTAGAGGCCATTGTGTCCTGAGCGAGTGCTGTGAGTATCTTTGAGATGCTAATGTTGCTGCACTCATTTAGCACGTAGCCAAACGATGAAATGCCAAGCGCTAATCAGCAGTGCGTGTAGAAGCGCGTGGGAGAGCATAATCCAAGCACTATTAAGAGCTTTTCAGATATTCACAGTGACAATCCCCCTCATTATTTGCCTAGATAACCATCGTATCCCTATCCTGTCCGATAATTACGCCTTTGTTGGGGAATCCTATGGAATAGTGGCGGTTCTGCTCGTGTTTGAATCGCGTCCGAAGAATGGACTATAGCCACTTCCAGACACTGTAAAAGGTAAAAGAGTAAAAGGTCTAAACGCCAGTTTGAGTTTTGTAAAAGCTTTCACTGGAGTTATTCGGAAGGTTTAAACAGTGTCTTTTTTACGCATGCCTTTATATCTATACGTTTCACTTTTGTATTACTTGTCTGCTCTACAATCCAAGGTCAAATTCAAAGTTCAAAAAGAATAATCCAGTCTCACCATCACATGAAGCACAATGATGTAATAATCTATTTTTTTATTACCATTATCAATTTAAATTTTTACACTGAACAAAAGCGATGTTTAAAATGTGCTCATGTCATTCAAGAGAACTTAAAGAGTCCAGGGAAAGTATAGTCAGAATCATAAAATACATAAACCAGGGGTGCCCCAACTTTTTATTTAGAGGGCCATTTTCTTTCATCAGATTTGACCTGGGGCTGACAACCTGGATTTTAAAAAAACTAGATTTGAGCTAGATTAACTGGATTCTGGAATCTAAAATTGTTTATGATACGTCTTTATTGATTCACAAAGATGTCAGCATATAACAATAGAGTGCCAATAGAGTACTGCAATGGCGACTTTGTGTTAGCACCAGTGGGGTCGGGTCCCAGGCTCAAAAGTGGCCAAAATGACGTGGGCTGACATGCTTGCTATATGATATTGGAATGTAACTTAAGTTATCATTTTGGTAAATCATATGTGGCTATGTGCTGAATGCTCTGTATTGTAATCCACTTTAGCTCCAGCAAAACTCCGTGAGGTCCTGGGAGCTCATATGTTAAACAGCAGAGGAAGCAGTCTTTGAGGATGCTAATGTCTCACTGTCCTTTTGTTGTGTTGGTTTCTTCCTTTCCCATCTGCATACGAAGGTGTGTCTTGCTCTACCAAAAGGGGCTTGCCATCTGTGAATCTTCAGACTTGTCCTGAGAGAGGCTAGGGACTGTGCCTTGCCTCTGTCAAGACATTCTCCTTGTACAATGTAACAAGTAAAAGATTAACTTTGTCTCTTTGTTGTGTGAGATTTCATCAGGTTCAACTGTAGTTGAAACAGCATTATCACTTGGTCCTTCGATCCGGATCCCAACACTTCTTACAGGAGCTGAGCTTGTCTCAAACATGGACTTCCAGGAGCAACAACAAGGCCTTCTGCATTCGGAACTGCATTGGAACTCCAGGTTTGAGGCTGGACAGCCCTGGGTTGGAGTCGACGGGAGAACTACAGTTTTTCCTGATGAAATCGCAACAAAGGCAAGTTCTGTACACTCTAAATTATGTCCAAAAGTAATTCAGGAAGTAGTGTGAAGTTCACATGAACACAATAATTTAGGATAACGCAGAGGTATGCCTTTAGTCAAGGACTTTTCCAGAGCTCGAATGAACGGGGTTTCATTCAAAAGGGTAACGCAGAGTTACCCTTCTTCTACATTACTTCTAAACTGAAATTGGACATTTATAGACATCTAAATAAGCTAAATTGAAATTGGATGTTTAAAGACCTTTAAATTACTCAAAATTTGGAATTGGACATTGCAAAAAGTAGATAGACCGCCATTTTGGGTGGCCATGTGGTCCTTTGTCCTCTGGCCATGTGTTTCTTTCTTTGTTCTGTGTGTCCTCTTCGTTTTCCTTTGTCAAAGTTTTCTTGGTTTAGAATCACCCTTCACCTTATGTTTTGATTCTGAAATGTGTTAACAAATGTGCTTTTTGTTTTTGAGAAAAATGCCACATCCCTGCCAAAGCTTCAAAGCAACAAAATCCACCTATTTTCCATTGTGGGACAGAAATCCCACCCCCATCGGCATCTCCATACAGCCATCGACACCTACGAAACGACCCTCCACACAAACCCCCCCCCCCCCGCACCGGAAGCTGCTGACGAATAATCACGGGCCGATTTGCAAAGATCAAAGCGCGCAGGCCCACGGAGGGCGCTGGCCGTTTGTTCAAGTTAAATGGACGTGAGAATTGAAGGTGACATCTTGGTACATTTGCGACTTGAAAGTTCAGCTTTGTGTCGTTGTTGGAGAACGGCTTGCTGCTAGTCTTGCGTCGGAAACGCAGACAGAGAAGAGTTTCGAAACAGGAACAGAGTGGACATTTCAGGTCATAACCAAACATGAGGAGGGGTCGAGAGGAAGTGTCAAATGGACTGTCTATGGACTGTGAAAATGGACTTTGGGTTTTCGGGCTTTTGGGCGTGTGCGTGGTGTTGAATTTGATAACCAAAGTTAATACATTTCAAAGTTAATACATTGTTCGGTTTTGAGCCATGTATGTCTCAATAGGGGGAATAGTTTATGGAACAACAATGTGAAATTATACTATGACATTTTTTCTTTTTCATTTTGGATGTGTGTTTTTTCATTTTCAGTTCTCCATGTTTAAACATAGATTGTTTGATTTATCAAAAGGATAAAAAGGAGGGAATGATATTGGAATGTAACTTAAGTTATCATTTTGGTAAATCATATGTGGCTATGTGCTGAATGCTCTATACTGTAATTTACTTTAGCTCCAGCAAAACTCCGGGAGGTCTGGGGAGCTCATATGTTAAACAGCAGAGGAAGCAGTCTTTGAGGATGCTAATGTCTCACTGTCCTTTTGTTGTGTTAGTTTCTTCCTTTCCCATCTGCATACAAAGGTGTGTCTTGCTCTACCAAAAGGGGCTTGCCATCTGTGAATCTTCAGACTTGTCCTGAGAGAGGCTAGGGACTGTGCCTTGCCTCTGTCAAGACATTCTTCTTGTACAATGTAACAAGTAAAAGATTAACTTTGTCTCTTTGTTGTGTGAGATTTCATCAGGTTCAACTGTAGTTGAAACAGCATTATCACTATACCACCCCGGGCCGATGGGGGTGGACCCGGAATAAGAATTAGCCAATTGATAATGCTGTTTCAGCTACAGTTGAACCTGATGAAATCAAAATTGTGTGGAGGGTCGTTTCGTAGGTGTCGATGGCTGTATGGAGTGTCATGGTGTGGGTTTTATTTTTGTATTTAGCTTTTATTTTGAAATAAGTTCTGTGGTTTTGTTTCAGTTTGACTTCCAGTCCTGGTTTCCCCTGTCTTGATTGTCTGCCCCGCCCTGATGTGTTTCACCTGTGTCTGTGTCTATATGTACCCTTTGCTTCTCTCCCCTTGTTGCTGCTTCATTGTCTTGTCAACATTTGTTCTGTCCTGTTCCTGGTTATGTGTTCCTGGTCATGTGTTCCCTGTGCTTTTGGATTTTGAGTTAGTTTTCTCCTGCACTTTTATTTTTTCATCATTAAATTCCTTTTATTTTGGCATTCCTGCATTTTGGGTCCTCATTCAGTTCACCCCGTGACAGAATGAAGCAGCCACTAATGGACTCAGCGGATTGCCTTTTTTCCCACAAGTTTTTTTTTTTTTGTGTGCCGATTGCCTACCTCGCTGCCTACCTCTTGCACCTGTTACTTGGAACCACCGCCAGGCAAGAAACTCCGCCTGGGGTGGTTATTCGTCTTGCACCACCGCCGGGCATTGATGTCCGTCCGGGGTGGTCCTCTGTTCCCTCCGCCCGTCCTGCTGAGAGGTATCCAGTGGAGTTCTGCACCGGTTTTCACACCCTCTGTCTGCTGTTCTACGGTGACCTGTCCTTCCCTTGTCTCTTGCCGCCGCCAGACATTACCTTCGTCTGGGGTGGTTCTGCCCCCAGCCTGAGTCACCGCCGGGCATATGTCTTCGTCCGGGGTGAGCCAGCTCCTTACTCTCCAGACCCTCGGGAAGGTTGCCACTGGACTTCAGCTCCTGTCCCTGATCTGTTCCGTACTACTGACCTGTCTCTGGCCCATCCTCCAGACCCCCGCCACCCTCCCTGGCTCGTGTTTTTTGTTTTTAGGGACATCTGGGAGCTGTCCCTTGGAGGGGGGGTACTGTCATGGTGTGGGTTTTATTTTTGTATTTAGCTTTTATTTTGAAATAAGTT